GCGATTCGTGGGCGTCGCGCTCGCAGGGCAAGGGCCAATCGGCGCGTTATCAGCCGAACCCGTGACACCCTGCTACCTGCATGCTGTCGGAAGGACTATCGAGCGACACTTATGCTGTGGTCGTTACCGAGGAAGGACGCAGGATCCCGCATTAGCTACCGAGTGCCGTACAAGGGTTCGAGACAAGACCTTAGCTGCCGCTCTTGGTGAGACGAATGTCGCCGAATTATATTGTCAGCCGCCGGTTTCATTGACGGGCGGATCGCGCCGTTAAAGTTCCGTTGTCCGTGTAATTGTATGTCCGCGAGTAGAGTCCGTGTGCCGCGCCGTCCGCCCGACATAGAATTACACGAAGTAAAGTAGTTGCGCTCGCCTTGCCACAGCCAAGTCATTTGTACGTTATTTAAGAGTTATTTCGTGTTCATTTCGTGTTAAGAGTTGTACTATTCGTTGCGTTGTTAGCGTGCCGAGCTTTCGGCGGAATTTCGGAATATCGCGACACCATTCCCATTATTATTTGTAATCTCCATTATTATAAATAATTTCCAAACCGCTAAGCCTTGAACTCTAAACGCGATATTTTCGTAATTATAATATTCGAAACATGAGCTTAATTCAGCTAGTAGCAAACTACGATTGTAACCTTTTACTTAATATTTCAAATGAAATTAAATTACTAAATTCGTTTACTTAACTTGTCACACTCAAATTTGTTAGACATTATCTTGTTAACTTAGACAGTAATAAACGCAATTGTTATGTTTAAATTCAACTCTCTTTATTTTAATTAAACGACTTCACCCACTTCACATCTCTTTTCGCCTAGGGAGTCGCACAGGATGATCCCAAATCATAGCAATTAAGTTCCCTGACTAAAACAGGACCAACGATCGCGCTGATTGGTACAAACGAGTAATATCGTCCTTTTCAGGACGTTGACTCATTTTCCTAACCTGTTAAAGCGCCTTCGACTCGCATCGTGCGTCTCTGTGCAAGATAGCTTATCTAGTTGCGTCCTTCCTTACCCCCTCCACTTCCAGTCCCATCTCGTTCTCACACGGGACTCGTTCTATCACTCAACAAACTAAACTAAATATCCTGGGGTTTGGACATAACACATAAATCCCGCATGTCGGACTTTGCATTGCAATATCTCCGCTCGTAGGACACGTAGAAAAAAAATAAAAACACTTTTATTACACAACCCGAACCCAAGTTGTCGATTAAGGGGGAACTCCATTGTGACGGATTCAAAAAATCGATGTTTTTGCATTTTTGTAATGCTTGAGGTCTTAAAAATATGTCCCTAAAATATTATGTTAAAATTCACAATGGAACTATAGTAAATATGTAATAAAATAGCACGTGTTCAGAGTATACACAGTATATACAGGGTGGACCATTTTAATCCATCCAGTCGAATATCTCGAAAATCAAGCCCGGGAGAGAAAAATGTTTCAGACAAAAGTTTTTGGATTTCAAGGGAGACATAAAATGATAACATTGGTTTGACCCTGAGTGGCGTCGTCAAGGTCAGGACAAGATCACTTTGAATTTTTTAAATGGAACCCCCAATTTTTCATTATATCATTTTCTTATAGCACGCCTCGAGAACTTTCTAAAACACATACATAAAATATTTTTTTATGAAATAAATCTTGAGTTATGAAGCTTGAAACTTGAAGTACTGTCGTCATTAGCATCATCCAAGGTGTCCAAACACTAGCTAAAGATGACCAAGGTCGTTGGCTTTTATCAATCTCATGATCCTGAACAATATTCAAAAAATTTTAACCATTGTTCGAACACCTTGGATGATGCTAATGCCGACAGTACTCCAACTTTCAAGCTTCATAATTCAAGATTTATTTCATAAAAAAATATTTTATTTATGTGTTTTCGAAAGTTCTGGAGGTGTAAGGAGGCGTGCTATAAGAACATATAATGAAAAATTGGGGGTTCCATTTAAAAAATTTAAAGTGACCTTGTCCTGACCTTGACAACGCCACTCAGGGTCAAATCAATGTTATCATCTTATGTCCCCCTTGAAATCCAAAAACTTTTGTCTGAAAAATTTTTCTCTCCCGGGCTTGATTTTCGAGATATTCGACTGGATGGATTAAAATGGTCCACCCTGTATATACGCCCGACCGCGTAAAACTTTAAACGCGTTTTTCTCGAAATCACGTTTTCGTAGCTGGGCGCTTGTATCTCGGCCAATTTTTATCCGAATGACTTGATTTTTGGACAGTATGTTCACAACAAAATTGTCTTTAGTTAAGCGTATGATTTTTTCAATCAGATTATTTTTTGAAAAATAATTTTCAAAAGTAATGATTTTTTTCGCAAAATAGCGAACTATTTTTTTAGAAAAGTGCCATTTTGTTAAAAATTATTTTTTAAAAAAATCCGTACGCTTAATTGAAACTACACTTACATTTTTTTTAATGAAAAAAGAATTTTTGATTTTAGACATCCCGTTCAGACGCATCACGGACGCCCATGCACCCATGTTTTTCCACTAAAGCTTTACGTTATCGAAGACGGAGGCCACAAATATTAACATTAGTTTATGATTTTTTTAAAATAAAATCTTAAATATATTGTGACGTTTTGCGACAACGTCCGTCACAAGGGCTCAATAGCCTGACCGCAAAGGCCAAGTGGATCCTGCGTCTTCCGACTTTCGAGGGCGAGCGCATCTACGATTTGCCATGTTCCGCGACTTAAAATTTTATACTAGAGTTAAGCAGTTAGGCCATACACCGACCGAAATAAGCGAGGGATGGCGACTGTTCGGAAAAGACTGTATGAAAGCATCGTCTCACTGGCTCCAAGCAACGAGGACTCCCAGGACGAGAGGTTACCGAGACATACACTCAGCGCAAGACGGGAGCACAGGTCACGTAACTACTCTTTCTTTTTCTTCCATCACGAAGCCCTCTTACTGCTGTTCTCTTTTACAGAGTTTTTGGAGCGAGCCGACGGCCCTGCCAGGAGACCCCGGTAGTACAAGGGCGCAGGAGAGCTGACACCATAGCTCGCTCCACGTATCGAGGGCCAGAAGCCCTCCCGGCGAGACCACTTTGAAATCGCGCGCCCGTTATCACGGGGCCCGCGACGAATGCTACCCTCCTGCGGCGCAGGGGGTCGCGAAAGAGGGACTCACGTGACAGGAAGAGATAGAGGAAACCGGCAGATGGCCCCGCTACCAACGTGCTCCCGGCGCTGCGAAGAACCGGCACGAACGTGATCGTCGAACGTGAACGTGATCGTCGTCGTTACCTAACGTGGCTATTGTAAGGGACGCAGGAACCACCGCCGAGCCTCAAGCAGTAAAGATCGGAGTTGAGTTTCGAGAGACGAGAAGAGTGAGGAGCTGGAGAGCATTTGGTGAGACGAACGTCGCTAATTTGTAGAGTCGCCGTTCCGCGAGACGAGAGGGCCGTGTGAGAGTATCGAGTCCTTCTGTATAACGGCCGCAAGGGCCCTGTAAGATAGAGCCGCGAGTCTCGCTTGTAGCGAGAATCCGAAATCGCACCGCCCGCTCGATTGCGCTAATTTCGAGTCATTAAGATTGTCGCCGTTGCGTTCGCCCTCGCCCGGCCGAGTCACCGCGTGTTTGTATCGTGTAATTGTAAGTCGCGAGAGCGCTCGTGTTGCCGTTCTGTGTGTGTCGGATTTATTAGAGTCTCTGCGTGTCGTGAATTAAATTCTGTATCGAGAGAGTGCGTTAACTTTCTTGTGTCGCGAAAAACGAGATTCGCCGTAGATATCGGGCCACGTGCCCATGCACGCCGCGAACGCGTGCGCTCGCGCGCCAATCGCCGTCACCGCGCCCGCCGTATATCGGACGTCCGGATTGTCTCGGACAAGTATTTTGACTTGTAATTTCCGACGGGGAGACGGAATCGAACGATAGTCGCTCCTTGTAAAACGCCCACGCAAAGCGATTGCCGATCCTCGGCCTCGCGCTCGAAGGGACTATTTGAGCACCGCGGAGTAACCCCGCAAGGCGTACCGCGACTCCACCACGAAGCATCGCGCGATTACTTAAGAAGATTTGTTCGGTTCTCGTCATCCCGGTCCGCTATCCGACACACACCCGTGTCACTTATCTCTCCCGCGATCGTCTGTAATTCGTACAGGCATCCTGACGTGGCGTTAGTCCGCCAAGGATCGGCGCCGGAATACGCGTTCCCCGGGGCTTTTTGTGCGCTCCGTCCCGCGCGTTCCGCGAGTACCACGCGAGGTACTCGCCTCTGTATTCCCTCGCCCCGCGAGACCATTGAAAATACATGTTCTCTTAATCACTATTAAATACAGGAGCAATTATTTTCCTTCCTTGTCGCTCTCCTAAGCCTCGCATTTAACGATCCTTTCTGTCTCTTCGCACGAACCACGTCGAGAGCCCGACCCGCGACGAGCTAGTCCGCGCTCAAAACGGTCGGTTGTTTCAAATATATAAAGATAATAATTCATACAACTTATTAATTATCGCAAAAAATTCAGCAAAATAGTCTTTTTTTCGGCCGTCACAGTGGTGTTCCCCCTTAAGCCTTAGGAACTTAATCGGTTTGACCGTTATTGAGATCTCATAATCTCGGGTGCTCGCAACGCGACGGCTCGCGTGAAGAGACTCGGCATGGCTTGACATATTGACATATGATTATGATAGAATACATATATTTTATTTATATTTTATCTATTTTATAAGTCTATGTTAATAAATTTAACTTGAAGATAATAACATAAAAATAAAAATTAAAATACTTTGACTGCAAGTTTTCCAAAATTATTTATTAAAACAAAAAATTTGGACGTAAGCTTAGTCATGAAATAAAATCTACGATAATTAATTTTTTTATGTAATAGAAAATACTAAGAAATTTCAAGATAGAGTGGAAAAAAAGAGAGAAATTTTGAAGGAGGACAAGGAAAAATATCAAACTCTGATAAAAACACTGCTCTTTCAAATCTACTTTATTAAACATTTGAATAAAACAGATTTTTTCAAAAGAAAATAAATAATTTTACATGTTTATTATAAATTTTAAATTATTTTCATAAACTGTTGATTGTTGTGAAATTACGCTCTTTTGATACCAAACAGTATAATTTACAATAATTTAACTATTAACTAATTAAAATGCTGATAGTTTAATAAATAACGGAATTAAATTTTTCACGTAAAAGATATCGCATTCTTCCAATTATATATATTTTAAATAAACGTATAATTTCTGTTAGCTTTTTTTAACGAAAAAGTCATGTCTATTAAAAATTATAAAATGTCTTGTCAATAAGTTGGCGAACAGGCGTGTTCGACGTGGAATGGATGATGATGTGCAAAATTATCATTGTTTTGCACTAATTTTGATGGCAGTTCTCGCTGAGACATTCTAATAATAAAAATGTAAAAATAATTTGGTATAGATTAATAAATTGAGTTAACTTTTTATTACTGTATTAGACTAATAATATTATAAACTAATAAAAGTAAAATAAAACTAAATTGAAAATTAACAATAAACTTTTTGTAATAGTCAAAAATAAAATGATTATATTAAAATAAGTTTTTAGATCAAATTGTTATTTATAAATTCCATAAAAGCCAATTTTATTGGGTTAAAAGTGTTCCTGAGTGAAAAAAAATTAGAACCTTGTTAAATGAAAAATGCACTATAAGAAATTATAGGTACAGTATTAATTTTTAACATACACTTATAATACTAGTCAAAAGTTTGAATGCGATTTTCCCTATTTGTTAAACAAAAGCGAGTTTCGTAATGAGCGTGACAGATATACTTAACGATGTCTAAAATATAAATTATAATATCGAGAATATCGAAAACCAAGAAAAGTTCAAAATTCTAAAGAACATGGTCTCCCCATCTGGTCTCCCCAGTCACCATCTGACCTGAATCCAACAGAACTTTTATGGGGTAAGTTGAATAGGCGCATTGGAATGATCCTATCAAATAATAACCCTTTGAAGTATACATTTTTCCTTACTTACGATTAATTTGAAAATTGGTACTCGGGAGTTTTCGAGGTTACTGATTACAAATCTGAGGTTAAAATTTAGAAATTTAAAATGGCGGATTCAATATGACGGACCCGAATTCGAAAAACAATGCAAATTTTATAAAAATGTATATCTGGGGATTCTTGGAGTCGCTGATTACAAATTCGTGATCAGATTCCCGAAATTCAAGATGGCAGATCCAATATGGCGGACTAAAATTTGACTAACGATACAAATGTCACGAAAACGTATTTCTGGAAGATCTCGGGGTTACGAATCGTAATCAAATTCCCAAAATTCAAGATGGCGAATTGACGACTATATCCGAAAAACAGTGCTGATTCAGTGTAAAATCGCTGAACCCCCAGATATATACGTTTTCATAAGGTTTCCATCGTTTTTCGAATTCGGGTCCGCCATGTTGGATCCGCCATCTTGTATTTCTGAAATCTGACGTAATCAGCGGCCTAAAAAATCCCAAGAAATACATATTCATAACATTTGCATCGTTTTTTTATTTTAAGTCCGCCATCTTGGATTTTAGAAATCTGGCCACGGATTCGTAATCAGCAACCCCAAAAACCCTCGAGGGATCTTTGCGTGGAACTTTGAGAACTTTCAGAGATAATGAATTTTCTCCAGAAAAATTGCAATTTTTCAACGTTTGTATAAACAAAATTACCCGTGATTTCGAATTATTGCACATTGATTCTTATTTTTGAATGTATAACTGATACCAAAACACAAAAAAGTTCGAAAATTGAGTGAAAACTACCCCAGTTATTCAGAAAATGGTTATGGAAAAGGTGGCATTCCACAATATTACTTGGTAAGTTATTCCAGCGGAAACGCTATTTATATAAATTAATAAAAAGGATAGAAGAATTTGTAATAAAAGCCCAAGGAGAGTACATTGATAAAAATAAATTATGACTGTGCCAGAACTTAAAAATTAGATTACTATAAAGTATTTATTTTTTAACATATTTTTTCTTAGGAAAAAATTTAAATTATGTTCAAATGTAGTCTTTATGCAATGAATTTTCTGTACATTATATATTTTTATTTTTTTTACGAGTATAATCGTTTTATACAGATTCATCCAAACTTTTGACCGGTACTATGTATAGGGTGTCTCGTACTCAATGGTACAGCGCTTGTGGGCAGGTAGTGTGGACTAAACTGAACAGAAAAGTCCTCTACCATTTTGTGATCTTCGCAATAGTTATCGAGATACTAATCATTTAAAAAAAAAACAAATTTTACATAATGGCCAAGTTTTTGCTTCACTATAATTCTATTTTTAATAACCTTAAGTTTGTTTAACGAAACTTAAAATTATTTGGAAAGACAATGGTATTAAACTTTTGCTGCATATAATTTTGAATAATTTAAACGATTTATTAAACAAATATTTTTCTGGTTTTGAATGGTAAATATTGATAACAACGGACCCAGCCCCAATGACCTTGACCTTCATGTATGTTGTCAAGGTCATGACCCTGAGTGATTATCAAGAGGTTTTAGCCGTCGCTCGTTATTCGTTAAAAAGTTATTAACAAAAAAG